CTCACCGAGGGGTTGTCAGCATGCAGTGTCAGGACCATGCAGGTTATGCCTCCCCCGGCGGGGTCTATCGGCATGCAAGGCATCCCCGTCCCAGCGCAGCGGCTCCAGGCGGTGCCAGCCCCCCCCGCTCTGCCCCGACAGCGCAGCGCCGGCACAGGGAACACCCGGGGAGCCCATCCCAAGCCCGGCCGCAGCCGCCGGGAGCCGCAGCCCGCCCGGAGGCTTCCGAGGCCTCGCACCGCTCCCCGCCGGGGAGCCCCGCGGCCCGGGGGCGCCGCTCTTTACCTCGGAAGCAGTAGGCATCGTAGCGGCTCTGGGCGTCGGGGAATCCCGTCTGGTTGCGGAAGAGGAAGATGGTTTTGACGCCGGGCAGAGCCCCGCCGCAGCGCTCCCGCGGGGTGACGATGGGGTAGCGGACGCTGCCGTCGGCCAGCCAGCCGGGGCTGCAGGCGTCCAGCCCCGCGTTCCAGGCCGCGTACAGCTGGCCCGGGCTCGCCAGCTCCGCGCCCAGCGCCCGGCAGCGCTGCGCCGCCTCCTCCAGCGTGAACCGCGCCGGGGCCGTCTCCAGAAAGATTTCCCCTGCGGACAGACGGACGAGACGGGGCTCAGAGCTGGGCAGGGCAGCGGGCGCGGAGCCCCCGCAGCGCCTCCGCTCCCTGCGCGACCCCCGGAGCGGAGATGGAGGCTGCAGGGTGGGCAGGAGCACGGGGGCTGGAGGAGAGCTGCCTCCCTGCCTGCATTGCTGCCTGCATCCCTGCATCCCTGCCTGCATCCCTGCCTCCATCCCGGCTTCCCTGCCTGCATCCCTGCTTCCCTGCCTGCATCCCTGCCTCCATTCCGGCTTCCCTGCCTGCATCACTGCATCCCTGCCTGCATCCCTGCCTGCTTCCCTGCCTTCCTGAGTGCTTCCCTGCCTGCATCCCTGCATCCCTGCCTGCATCCCTGCCTGCTTCCCTGCCTCCATCCCGGCTTCCCTGCCTGCATCCCTGCATCCCTGCCTGCATCCCTGCATCCCTGCCTGCATTGCTGCCTCCATCCCCGCTTCCCTGCCTCCATATGTGCCTGTATCCCTGCCTGTTTCCCTGCATCCCTGCATCCCTGCCTGCATCCCTGCATCCCTGCCTGCATCCCTGCCTGCATCCCTGCATCCCTGCCTGCATCCCCGCCTCCCTGGCCATGCACAGAGAGCCACAGTGCAGGCCCTGGAGCTCTCACTCCACCGGGGATTGATTCCCACCCTCACAAGCAGAGCTGAGACTTCGAAGCAGCCCTGAGCGGGACTGCAGAGGAGCAGGTCCAGTGCAGGCATGGCCCTGCACTGAGAAATCCACGTGTGGGCATTTCTAAGAACTGCATTGAGAAATCCACGTGTGGGGCATTTCTAAAGAGATCTGAACTGAGAAATCCACGTGTGGGCATTTCTAAGAACTGCATTGAGAAATCCACGTGTGGGGCATTTCTAAGGGAGCTGCACTGAGAAATCCACGTGTGGGCATTTCTGAGGGGGTCTTCAAGCCCAGTGAGCACCATGCTGAGGTTTCTCACTCAGGAGGGCTGGGCACCTCTGCCCCAAGGTACAGCAGGTATCAACCCCACCGCTGCCCTTGTCTCCCTGCCACCTGCCTGGCACCACCCAGCCCACCCCACAGCAGTGCCACCGCCAGTGGGGACCCCCAAAGGTGGGAGCAGCCCCCCCCACGCAGCCCTGTATCCCACGCAAAGCACGGCACAGGCAAAACCAAACCCCAAACCACCCAACCCAGCGTGCTGCAGCTGCGGGGCAGATGGCTGCGGGCACACCCCGGCCTGAGCGCTGCCAGCTGCGAGGCACAGAGCCCCACAGCCCGGCAGAGTGAACCAGGAATGTTTTAGGGAGCAGCACAGCAGGTCCCCACTGCCGAGAGGCAGAACCTGCAGCTCAGGGCAGCTTTTCCTCTTGGGTTTGCAGTGGGTTACGGGGGCAAGTTAGCGTGGGAGCAAAAGCAAGAGGTGGCACCACGGGCACCTGGGAGGTCCTCAGCGTAGCAGTACACATCGTACATGTCCTCCGGGTCCACCACGCCGTAGTTCCTCACCCCAGGGAAGCCGTTCATGTCTCCGTAGCAAGCCTCGCGGGGTGTCTGGATGGGGTACCTGGGCCAGGAAAGCACAGCGGGGCCGGTGACTCGCTGGGGAGCCGCCGGGCGAGGCCCCGGCCACGGTGCCCGGGCAGCGGCGGTGCCCACCTGACGGTCTGGTCGGCGATCCAGCCGGCGTCACACTGCTCGTAGCCCCCCAGGTAGGCGGCGTAGAGCTGCTCGGGGGTGGCGATGCTGGCACCGATCCTGGCACAAGCCTCCTGCGCCTCGGCGAAGGTGTAGGCGTAGCGCATGGAGCCCTCCCGGTAGTGGAACACCACCCCTGGGGCAGACAGGGCGTGGGCAAGGGGCTCGCAGCAGCCCCCCGCCAAACGCACCCAGGGGAGCGCTGGCAGAGCCGGGAGAGGCTGTCCCACGTCCCGGAGGTACCTTTGACTTTGAGGTGGAGGATGGCGTGGCCGTCCTCGATGCCGTGCTGCACGTCGCAGCGGTAGATGCCCGAGTCGTTGGGGCGCAGCTCGGTGAGCAGCAGGGAGGCGTTGGTGTAGCGCCGGTGGAAGATGGGCAGGGAGGCGCGCAGCCGGTAATCCTCGCTCACCTTCACCCGGTCCCCCCGAGCCACCAGGATCTCCGCCTCCCTGCCCTCAGAGATGAAGGTCCACTTGACCCGGGGGGTGCCCAGGACCGCCCGGCGGCCGCCCGAGGGCGGGGGGCCGAGGTAGCTGATGAGACAGGGGATGGTGATGTCGCCTGCCAGCACGGCGTCGAGGGCTGGCTGCCGTGGGATGGACACCTGCAGAGCCTTGAGGTCCTCTGGGAGGGAGAAGAGGGGAGCCGTGAGCGGGGCTGGTGTGGGGGACCCCCCGAGACCCCCGTTACGGGGCACCCGTGGGGATGCCGAGTTACCTGTGCCATCTCCGGGGCCGAACGCCTGCGGGACCACGGTGGGGACAAACACCCAGAGCAGCAGCAGCGGCGGCGGCAGGGCTGGGGCCATGCTCTGCCCTGGCAGGGGGAAAAACCACCTGGTGTGCTGGGAACCCAGAAAAGTACCAAAAATCTCCCATCCCTGCATCTGCCCCGGGAGGGGGAAACAAAAACCACCAGGTGTGCTGGGAAC